CACATTTTCAATATTTTACTTCACATACCTAGTAGTACATATGAATATTCATGTAGACTTCTACTCTTTATTTTCTTTGTGAAAAGTTTGGAGCGATTTATTGGTTAATATTGAGTACATTGTATTGAAAGTCATTATTACTATGATGTGTGTTGTTGTATGTTACCTCCAGAGCTTGGTAGACGACTACAGCATGAACTAGAACACACAGAAAGGCTGGATTCTGAGCTTATGTCACAGTTAAGAACTAGACAAGATGGTGTTGGGCAGGAAGGATCACCTATATCTGGTGCCACCGGTGATAGCATGAGTGAACCGGGTGCTGGTGGTGACCAGGTTACCAGTAGATTACAAGTAAGTACTACATGGTTTTAACAGCTTGCATGAAACACGAATCAGTTGTTGATTTGTAAAAATAAATAATTTTTTAGATAGATTGGCTCGTCAGATGTTCAAGAGAGAGAAGTGGCAAATAAACCTATATTATGTATTTTATGTTAACCTCTGCCACTATTTCTCTTGTTTTCAAAGAAAATATAACATATTTTTTGACTAAATAAAAAAAAATTTTGTGAAGAAAAGATTATAATCTAGCTGTAAACAGTACAATATCAAGAACTGAGATGAAACTGGAAACATTGTTTCCCTCAAACATAATACTGGTACTTTCTATAGTATTAATTGTTTTCATTCAAATATAATGTTTTTCTGTAGGCACTGTTAAATCGAGTTTACAATGAAGGGCTGCAAGTGTTATCATTATCTGATTTAGTGTATTTAAGACGACATAGTTCACCTCGACCCAAGACACCTGAGGGCGCCGATCTAGGCACATTACAACAAGCCTGGGAGAGTGAGAAACATACATTATTAGCGGCAATACAGGCACTTAAGGATCTCATTTCGCAGACCACTGCATCTGGTGTATGGGTAAGATTGCTTTCTTAAATGCACAGAGCACATGTTCTATAATTCATAACCAAGGACGGTGATGGTTTAATTGATTCAGATTATAAAATATATGTTTTAATGTTTCCAGACTGCAGAATCAAGAGAGAATGATTGGAGAGCTGAATTATTAAAAGCCATCAAATATGTATTTGACAAAGAACGCGAGACACTGTTGGCAGAGTTACGTACACATGTTGTAGCGCACGGTGAACGTAATCTATCAGATATACAAGAATTGGAACGAAGAATCAAGGAGCAGGTGAACAAAGTTGATATGTTTTAGATTTTGATGATAAACTATTAGTTTGCAACGAGATATACAAGTAGATTTACTATCAGTGGAAATTATGAAGAAATAAAAAATATAATTTATTGATGTACATTTCATATACTGTAGAATACTTTATTTTCACTTGGAATTTATTTTCGCTGAAGGGATGATTCCGTGAAAATAAAATCCATATACTTTTTTTCCTATATTTCACATTAAACTCCTCAAAAATCAGTGAAAATATATTCCATACAAAACGCCCAAAACGCCTTTTCAGCGAAAATTAATTCCAGCGAAAATAAAGTATTCCACAGTATGTCTCAATGATGAATTATTGACTGTATGATAACTTGCGTTGTTAGGAGGAACACCAGCGGTCTGCTTTGGAGCAGATACTTGCAGCAGACAGAGCTTCTATGTTAGCTGAGCTGCGTGACCTCAGAGCGCATCTCACCGTGGTGCAGAAAGAAAGAGATGAACAAGGTCAACAAATGATTCAGCAAATTAACACACTGGAATCTCATGATGAACAAAGAGAACGGCAAAGTAAAAGACAATGTAAGTCAGTGTATTAGTATAATTGTTCTTCATATTGAACAAACATGAATGAAAAATGAAATGTTACTGATGAGATGCGTTAATTCTGTTTATTGTCTACTTAAGTCACTACCAATAGTTTAGCACCCTTGTTTTGTTTTTTTGATGACCAGATTGATCAGTGTTAAATCAGGTCTTCTATTTTTACTTCTTCTTTTCCACAATGATAATGAAAAGATGTTTTCTTTTATTTATTTTACAATGTATATATGTATTCATTTTGATATCTTTGTGCAGTGTAAAGTTACTGTTGTCACTGTTTTGTGCATTACAATGCAGTTGTCCCATTCCATGCTGCACCTTCCATCCTTTGTTCAATGACAACTCACCGCTGTTATGCACAAGTCAAGATCACACTTTACCAAACTTTTTTCATTCCCTTTCAATCATACTTGTTTCAGTTGCTCTCATTATGATTTTTTAGTAATTTTTTCACAGTAATATTTCTCGTCGCTGAGTGTGTACTAATTTATTTTAGATACTTACCATTGCTACTCTTCTTTGTTTTGTTGCTTCATCTCTTTCTCTTTCCAAGCTATCCAAAATGACGGCGCTATCTTTATTGGAGCAGGATCTCGAGATTCTGTCCAACGGCTTGTTGTACTTATCCGTAATCTTACCCAAACCATATGTAAGTGTTTTTTGATGGCATCGTCTCAATTCATGCCACTGGACACAGGCATGTGTTAATGCATGTTAGGCTTCAGTGCATGCAATCCCCTCAGAGTATTGCTTTGTTACTCTCAGAGTTTCTCAGTCACTGTCTGCAATGTGTTCTACATGCTAATACATCTATAGAGATAAATCTATGGTTTTCTTTCTATCATTACAAAATAACAGACCTATTGGTCTTCGGTATAAGTTGGTGTTCTGACATACATTCTCACTTTCACTTCTTTCTAACCCATGAATTTTATGAAATATTATTTTTCTCACAGCACTTGCTGGTACATTAGGCAATTCTATTCAAACTGGGAGTGTTTTGTACATACATACATACATACATACATACATACATACATACATACATACATACATACATACATACATACATACATACATACATACAGGTACATACATACATACAGGTACATACATACATACAGGTACATACATTTGAGCTGCATGTCACCCTAGACAATGACTGTGCTGGAATAAAACCCTTTCTTAGTTCGGGATGGTGCAGAATTGCATGACAGGTGATAAGGTTTATCGGCCAATGATTAATGCTCTTATATAATGGTGTTGGTTATTGGCCAATGGTTAATGCTCTTATATAATGGTATTGGTTATTGGCCAATGGTTAATAGTAATACAAGATGGTGTTTTAATTCTGCTGAAGAGTTTTGATTATTGAAGAGTAAAAAAAATATTTAGTTTTATCTGTTGTACAGTACCTGCTACAGTTCACTCTGAGATGTCATCTTTAGGTTTATCTGTGTTCTAGAACGATGTGATATTATACATCTGTCACCATAAGAAAGTTACAATAATTTTCATCATTTTGTTCAGTTTTGAGATGAGTGGTATTCTTGTGCTAAGCTTATACCGGTAGTATAAATATGTATAATTACTAGAAAATATTCCCGAAATACCCGGTAGTCAAGTTTACTTGAAAACCATATACATTATAATCATGTTATGAAACAAGTTATTCTTAAAATTTTCAATAATTCTTGACTTCTGTTCTCAATGCCTGTTTAGAGTTACTCCATATGTAAAAATTCACATTTGTCTGTTTTTGTTGCTCACCTAGTGTTATTGTTATTTTGAATCATGTTTTTAATTCACTGTTGCAGTCCACTAATATTTTCTATAATTTAGCCACAGATCACCATGTAAGTGGCACAATACAACATTAACATACATCTCAGAGTGCAAGTATATACTAATCAACTACATGTATATTTTCGGGGATCATTTTATTCAATCGTAATTAAGAAGTAATACCGAAACATAAAAAGCTCTGAAACAGTTTCTGATTATACCAGTTTTTGTGCAGTAATTGATTTCAATGCTGTCTGGTTCACTTACAGTGGAGATGTTAGAATATAAATATCAACAGGAGAAGGTTCTTGCCGAGGACATCAAAAGTGCTCTTGACTTGGAGAAGACCAAGACAGTTGAGTTATCCACCGGGTTGACAAAAGAGAAGTCTATCGTAGTAGAACTTAAAAATGAGATATCTGAGCTGCAGACTAAACTTGGTAATATCACGAATAATTTTGAGCGAGAACAAGCTCGACTTGAAGCTGTCACGTAAGTGTCTGCTTTCAATTCCATCAGGAATGTATGCATGCTTTGCTGTTGCAATGATTCTTTCCTCTCAACATACTTATGTTGAGTTTTCATAGTTTTCAGTGTTCATATGCTTTAATTCATACGCAATCATTTGATATCTTGGTAATTCCAGCCATACAATGTTTTTATAAGAATGGTTCTTTCAACCTCTTAGTTTTGATGCAATGATTATTATTTGAACTCTCCTGTTGTCGGCATTTACTTAGTCATTGTGTACTCATGTTAATGATTCATTTCCAAATCTGATAAAAAAACAACCTAGAAATTGATTTTCAATAAAAATTAATATTCTGGTTGTAATTAAAAATGATTTTGCTGATAGAGGGGTTAATCTCAAATACATTTCCTCCATTCTGCTCATCTCTCTTCCCTTTCCTCCCTTTTTTTTTTCAATCTCAACATACAGGAAGGTGGCGGAAGGTTTTCTGTAAGTTTTTCTACAAATAGGCTTTATCTTGGTTCTGCATTGTGTTAAAATTGCATGTATTAAACTACTGGTTTGTTGGCATGAGAATCTTGAATAGTGTTGTGCATGCATTTTAATATTTAATTAAATAATAAATCCAGGTCTTATTTTTAGCGCATGCTTACAAGGTGGCAAGCTGCATTTTTTTGTAAATTTGTTTGAATTTGTTTAATCCATGTAATACAACCTAAATTACTGATGTAGTTGAGCACACGTGGGGTTGGCTGCATGGGCTAAGGAACGCCCAAAACAAAAACCTTCAGTCATTTTAACCATGATGGCTCAGTAGAGTAGCTAGGAAGGTATACATGTTAGTTCTATGGTTATAAAACAATATCAAAGTAAATTCAGAAAGAGCAGATTGCAAAATAGCAGGAATTAGCTCAGAATCTCATCGTCAGTTCCTTTTTTCTCAAGAACAGTATCTCTAAATGTGCTCTTGTTGATTGTCATGTCAGAAATGGAATACAGAAATGAATAGTTATGAATATATTAGTAAATCTTCCAAATTAACATTGCATACAAAAACTCGGGGTTAAGTGTTCATGCAGACTCTGTTAGCCTATGCTAAGGACCTGAACCAGGTCTTAAAAACGTGCCAGATTTAATCTGTACTTAGCATTTCTTAGCCTGTGCTAAGCGTTCACGCATGTTATTTGACCTCTTAGCCTGTGCTAACAAGCTGTGCATGAATGCTACTAATGTTAAGATTTAAATATCAGCTGGAAAGTGAATTTGTTGTCAACCAATAATTCTTTTCCCAGCTGTTAACAATGCATGAAATGCAAGTTTCTCCCTAATAACAATGTGTATATACTACAAAGTTTGATGCTCTATGCAATACATCAAATAGATTAGATTTATGCTTTGAGAAAACAAAGACTTTCTAGTATTTTTTTGGGAATCCAGAGTTGCTCCTAGATTTCTTTCTGAGTTTGTTGCAACCTGCTTTTCTTCATTCATGGTTCACAAGAATACTGAGAAATCGATAGTCATAGTGTTGCCAACACCAAATGAGGTTCACTTTTCAAATTCATAATTGTTTGCTAAAGTGGCAAGATTTTGGTCCAACCCAAGGCGTTTTAATATTTATCCTAGAAATTTGACTACTCGCATTTTTCAGTACATTTGTGATGCTAAATGCATTCAAACTTGAATTCAATCATTGTTGAACATTTTATCACCAGTGCCATGTCTGTTTGATTCTCACAATTCTATTTGCTCTTCTTTTGTCATGTACAGGTCTACTTTAGAAGCTGAGAAAACTGAGAACAAAAACCTCAGAGAAGAATTAGAAGCTGAAAGACAAACTGCTGAGCATCTCAAATGCACCTTTGAAAATGAAAATGAGCGAAGCATGCAATCATCACATCGTGACCAGGAAACTATCAAGGTAATGCAGGAGCTGTGCTTTATCGTATTTACCACTTTGTCTCTCTTTTTCAATGTACCATATGAACATTGAATACACCTGGACAGACCCTATAACATCAATGTTATGGTGCAGTTTTGTTCATAATGATTATTTTTTCACTGACTACCCAATTCTCTGTTTTATAAGTTTGATATGTGCTCTTTTCTTCAGGAATTACGAACAAATCTAGAAAAGGAAAAGACGAAGAGAACCGAGATGACCAACATGTATGAGAGACAAGTCTTGAACACTAATGCCCTGGACCGTGAATTACAGTCTGAGAAATCACAGAGTAAAACTGTTATCAGCGCTGAGAGAACCAAAGCAGCTGAGTTTAAGGCGTCATTGGAAGTTGAGAAAGCTAGATCTGAGGAATTGTCTGCAGCACTTCAAGTGAGTTTTAGATCCTCTTGGTACATCTTTGTTGAAATTGACAACAATACTTATTACATACAGGATTTCATTCTGACTTTAGAGTGCACACAATTGTTATTTATTTTGAAATAATATATTTCAGACTGATTATCAACAAATAAATCTGTTTGTACTGTGATTGCTTTAATACTATTATCATATCTCCAATAATCAATGATGAAATAATTGTATTATCTGTTAGTAGTACACGTGCTTACGTAAATTATGGCGATGTTTGTATGGTCAAAATAAATATCTAATGAAATGATTTTAGGTTTATATGTACTTCTATTGGAGGTTGGCTTCTAATAGAGCACATATGGTAACTTTCTGTTTGAGCTTTCGCAAAATAAACCTGCCTAACCCTTTTTATAATTTTGCAGGAAATTGTGACATCTAAAGGGTGAATGGGAATAAAAAGAAATTGCAGACATTTATATTTGAATAGAGCAGACTTTATGCGTCAACAATGAGTGATATTAACATTAATCAATCAACCATCACTTCCTGTGAATTTCTAGTTCTAATTCTGAGAATTTTACTTTGCAGCGAGAGCGTGATTTGAGTAGTAAATTCCGTGAATCACTAGAAAGAGAACGTGCCACACTTGAGCACACCTCGCAGAGAGATCATCGAGCCATGGCTGACATCAAAGGGGAATTAGACGCAGCACGCAAAAAGTCTCTTGATCTCCACACTGCATTAGAACAATCTAAAAATACCGTAGCAACGTTGAATGCAATGTTAGAGTCTGAGAAATCAAGGTCTCTGGAAGACCTCGATAGAGAGAGAGCTGTTGCTAAACAGCTGAAAGCTTCTGTAGATTCCCTCCAGGTATTTATCTGAATTTTCTTGATAATAGTGTCTCAAGTATTAAATAATGAATGTCACTTAATAATATAAAATGTCATCATTGTCAATAGCTTTCTTATGACTATAACACTATCACTCATGAAAAGCAGTTAATCTTTGATGTGAACCCACAAACAGTAATCTACAGTTCCTATCTCTTTGTGTAATTTTTAATTCTGAAAATATTTTGTTTTTCCAGTCTCAAAGGCAAGATTTGACCCGACAGTTAGATAATGAACGTGACCGTGGAGTTAGATTACGAAATGAGAGAGATAGGTTACAGGCACAGCTAATGTCACAGAAAGACCGTGAGAGAGAAAATGAGGCGCACAGGGAACGAGAAAGACAGCTGGAGAGGCAAAAACAGAGAGAACGTGATCGTGAGAAGGAACTAGACAAACAGAGACAGGTTAGTAGGCCATTCATTTTATTATTCCATATAATTTATTTCTTCTGACTTTCAGCATTTATGTATTAGGAACATGTGTCGGGATTTTTGATGGAACAGACACCATGAAATTATAGTTTATAATTAAAACAAACATAAGGGATTGGTTTAAAGTGATTCAATTAATTGTTTATACTAGTCAAATTAATTAATATTTTTACTTGTCTGTTTGTAGCGAGACCGAGATTTAGATAAGCACCTGGAAAGGCAGAAGAGTGAAACGGCACAAATGGAAATCCGTGAGTTAAAGCAAAAATTGTCATTGGTTGAACAACAACGTGATTTTGACAGGGCACGAGAGATCCATAGAAGAACAATGAATGGCAGTGTGGTGGAAACTGATAATGAGGAAATACAGCAAGCTTTTGAAACTGTAAGTAATGCAGGATCTGCCTAACTTCCTCACTCTGTTTTGCTGAAAGTCAAACAACTTTTATGTCTGTTTACACTGTTAAAGCATTGCAGCATTTATATACACAGGAAATTTCAAAAGGAGCTCAGAGAGCGGGATTCGATAGCTTATCAAGTTCCAAGACTGGGATAACTCCAGAATCAAGTCCATCCAAGGTAGCCATGTACAAACAACAATTAGAAAATGCAAGACAAACACTACAACTACTGGTCATCAGACATCAAGAGGAGCTAGGCAAGCGATCAGTGAGGTAAGACGGTTGGTTAACTCTTATATTACCCATGACAAATTCAATCAACAAGATGTATAAAAGCAAAGATATTTGCTTTTTTGGCCACTAGTGGGTTAGTTATCATTGGAAATAATTGAATTTTTTTTATTATAATTTAGTAGGTCAGGTGATGGTGTATCATCTCACGATCCATACTCTGATGTTGAGATTCAGAGATTACAGAAAGTTTTAAATGAAATAAGTAATGAACTGAAAAATGTACATTCTTCATTAACATCTGAAGTAAGTTATAGTCAATATATTAAACCAGATCTAACCCTGTGACAAGTAATATTGGTATTATTTTATGCTGTAATAATGTACTGTCGACTGGTAGCTCACATGTGGCAGCCATGTGTTGATTCCTGGTACTTGTTATAGTATCTCGTCATTGTTTAATTTTACTAGAGACATATTTGTGAATATTATAAACTTGTGTGAATATTTTACTTTGGTCATTAACTTTTAGAAACTATCTCAAATAGATAATTAAAAATAAACTCTGATGGATACCTAATGATGTACAATCTAATTTGTATAATGGTTGTTTCTGTAGGAAGACCCAACTGATGGATCACCAGCCATGTCCAATCTGAATGCAAGGCTGTTAAAACAAAACGCTGATCTGACCACATTTGTGTCCCGACTCAGTGAGGAGAAAACAGAACTGAGGGGAGCCTTAGCAAAGTTAGAAGAAGAGGTTTGGAAGTATAGGCAAAAGGAATCAGAGCTGGACCATGTGAGTATTTTTAGATTCCCCTCCCCCCTCCATCTTGACAAAGATGATTAAAGTAAGGAAAATGCAAATTAAAAGACTCTTTAGTTGTTTGTGCTAATGATGAGACAGCTAAGGGGGTTTGTTTATGAGTGTGTGGAGTAACTATTAAAAATTGGAGGCATTGTGGCTCATCTATTATGGTAAATAGAATTAGAAAATATAAATAGAAATAATAACAGATTTTGCCTTACCAAATTGATAGAACTGACACTGGCTTTCTACGGAGACTTTCAACAGGCTATGTCTTGAATGGTTTGGTAACATTCTTTTAATTTATATTTCATTTCACCTTGTCAATTTCAGTACACAAAGAAATCTCTAGACAGTGCAGAGACCATCTTAGCTACTGAGAGAGCTGCTTGGGCCAGAGAAAGACTAGCTAACCAAAGAGCTCTACAGGAGGCCGAGTCAGAAATTGTTCGTTTGAAGTCTGAATATCGACATGAAGCCATGAAACGAGAGACGTTACAGCAACAACAAGAATTTAGTCAACCATCAGAGACACAACAGGCAAAAGTAAACTGACTTTTTCTTTGGCTTAGTTGCTTCTACAAAGAAAATCATATTTGCTTATCAGCATAATACATTGTGTTGTCAAACCTTTATCAGTGATGAGGGAAATATCCTTTTCTTAAAATTATTTTGATATTGTTTTCTGATTTATATTTGAACCAGATTATAGCTACTGTACTCTTATAAAAATCTATAAATTAACAGGGATCTATAAAATTCATCTCAGAAATTATTTCCCAAAACTATTTATTGATTTGATCTTGTATGAAGTGGATTAATAACATTGGGTATAATAAGGGCTCCCTCTATTGTTATGTGCAAGACACATTGGGTTACACCTCTGAATTTATCTATGTTATTAGTGTGTGACTTTCTATGTTTTTCATTGTGTATAGTTGCAGCGCATGTATGGCAAATACCTGCGAGCTGAGAGTTTCCGTAAAGCATTGGTGTATCAGAAAAAATATTTACTTTTACTACTGGGTGGTTTTCATGACTGTGAGCAAGCTACTCTCTCGATGATAGCTAAGATGGGTGCTTATCCATCACCTGCAGACCTACAAAGACGTTCCAGGCATCCCAGGTCGTATACAAGATTTCGAAGTGCTGTCAGAGTCGTCATTGCAGTGTCCAGGTGAGTTGTCCTTTATTTTCTGTTTCTAAAATTTAACTCTTTTTATTTTAAAACTGTCTCATAAAACAATTTCAATCCTGACCTACTGTGCATCACATTCACCTATTTTTATACTCGCAGAAAGAAAAAGAAAAAGACACCTAAGCTTCCTAAACAAGTTAACATTCTTGTCTCTTCTTGATAGGTTAAAATTTCTAGTTCGTAAATGGAGAAGAGCAACAAGGATTGGTTCGTCAGCAGTGGGAGGAACACCAACTGCATTGTCAGTACAATCCGTGCCTCATACCTCAACACCAAGTCCGTCCAGAAGCAGAGATGCACACATGTTGTCTTATGCAGCATATACACCGCCAGTCAGAGATAGACATACACGTAGTGCCACACAGCCTTCACCTCGCAGTTCATACCTATCACAAAGGTATATATACATATAGTTACTTGTTCACCATGTGTTCATCTTAAAGTGATTGGTTTTGGTTGGTAGCAGTAGTAGGGATGTAGAAGTGGGCAGGTGACAATGCATTCACTTCACACCAGACTGTGTTATAAAACTGTACATTTGGTTTATGTTTTGTTCAAAGTTAAGAGTAAAGATCTATGTGTTGAAAATTGTATAGAGAAATAGATTTGCGGTTTGCGATTCGATTCGATGAGATTTTTGAAATGTGCATTCCACATCTATAAAATTTTAGAATGATATAAATTGCAGCAAGATAATGGACATTGACAGTTAACTGCCATCAAAGCATACTTTAAATCTCAGCTATGTCTGTGTTATTCATTATGTTAGACTGAATTTAATATGTTCATTGCAGGTCACATGGTGCTTCGAATAATGATCCATTGACAGTGCCATCGTTATCTGCTTCATTACCGTTAGATGATTCTGTCACATCTATTGATGATGGCACTGATACCTCACTTAGTAATTATATACAGAGATTAGAAAGTTTACAAACACGATTAGAACGAGTACAAAGAGGTAAGTTACCATTACAATATAAAACTCAACAATTTCTAAATAAAATACCATATTTACTCTTACTCTATTAATTAAAAAAACAAAACATATTCATATTTGTAACAAATGTTAAATTTTAAATGCCACAGTTGTCAAATTTCAAATGAACATTCTGTCGTAGAGCGATGACCGTGGCAATTTAAGAATGTGACCAATGTCTGTAAATTAAATGGAGCTGCGCAATATAGATAGCTGCAATAACAGTGTGTTTATTTTATAGTTAGGTTGTCTAGAATTTACATAGAATGTATTTAGGTCAGTATTGTAATTGCATCTTGATGAAGAGTGCAAATTAATTTCTTGAATGGCAAGGTTTTGACATTTTCACTATTGTTTTTTGCAGGTAATACGGTTGGAGGAAATAGCCGGCAGTATAGTGGACTGTACAGTAAAAGATAGCCCTATCAAACAGACCATCTACTGAGCAAATAACTTATGTGGAAATTTTGTATTTTTATTGAAAAATATGTTTGAGAATTCTGCTGTATTTCAGTATGTGTGATTGTAAATAATACATTAACAAATTAACTTCAGCAGAAGTGTGTTGCTTAATTGTGTATGAAAACAGTGTGATTGGTGCTATTCAATTATACAAATCAGCAAAACAAACCTTATATATAATAATTATAATAAAAATCTTAATTTCTTTTTTTAGTAAAGTTGCAATTTTATTTTTATGAAAGTGCCTTTATTTTCACCCGCCGTGATGTACATATTGATGTGTATTTCATTTGTAATGTTATTTTGTTCTGTAAATATCAGTACATGTAATTGTTTCTATAAAGTATAAAGGTCCTTTCTCTGTTTTTACAAAACTATTCAAATCAAAATCCTTGTCCTAAACTGCAAGCAGTGTGTTACTGTGATGTGCAAGCTGCCATCTGTAATTCAGATACGCTTTAGGTTACTATCTTTGATGGAAAATTTGAGTGTCAATTGGGCTTATCGCAATCAATGTATTTTTATGTAACAAGATTCAATTTTACATACACTGTATCTGAATACTCGTTGATGCTTTACTGAGACAGCCATAACTAACTTGGTTAGGATTGGCTGCAACAACATTGACACTAGATGGCGCTGCATCCTATATTTTACTTTGTGGGTAAACATTAGTCCAATGTGTTTTGTAAGTTATCCCGAGCAGGTGACCTTTTTCATAAATTTCAAGTTTTCTTTCATCCTGAACCAGATAAATCTTGTAAATAATGTTTTTTTTTTTATGAAGTCATAAATGCTCTGTATGTACAAATTGACTAAAGTTTTGTTTATAATTGTAGAAAATTGATCACTAAGGGGGCATATTAGGACCAAAAATCATTTCATCCATTCTTTGCGTTTCTATCTTATCCACCACGGTTGTGTGAATGAGTGTACGATGTGTGTCATGTGTGGAAAATAAAAAAATAATATGAACTTATTTTTGCCAGATTTGTACCTGCAATAAAGTTGATCTGAGATAAAATGAAAATTTTGTTAAGTATTTATTATTCTTTTCACAATATAATATTACAAGTTACAGCAAGCCATTGAGTAAGTGATATTCAGCAAATAAAGTATCATTTACACTACTATATATTCAGAGGATGCATTGCGATAGCTTTTCAAATGGTCATTATAGCAAGTCTCGGAAGTATTGGGGCAGCCAATTTGCAAACTCGCTAGTGAATTGGCTAACTGGTTGGCTTTCGAATCTCGCTGACGCCAGCTTGTGATCGCGTCCACTCTTGGCGAGTCTATATTGCATTAGGGTCTTTGGCGAGTCTATATTGCATTAGGGTCTTTAGAATGTTTTTACGCAGCCTGGTACATGTCTGGATTCCCCCGAATGATTTGAGCCCGAAAATGGTCAGTCAGCTGGCGTACAAGTGATAAATGCGATTAATCCACCGATATTTACTATATGAGGGTAACCATCTTGAACACTGCTTAAACTAAATAGACTAGTTGAGAAACAGTTTCCTATAAATCAGGGAGAAAATCAAAAAATTTCACACTCGAACAATCCGTTGGGGTAACATTAAGCCAACCACTGAAAAAATCTACCCCATTCGTCGTTTTTGTATGGACATGAAGAGCATAGAACACTTTCCCTGGTATATTTGTAAGCGAAATCGCCATCCAACTGTAAGACCGTCGTTGATTAGCTCCTAAAGTATGAGGATCATCCCCTACTGTTACATAGATTTGCCTTAAGTGGGCGTGACTACCAGACGGGATTCGAAAGCCAACGTTTAGTCAAAACCTAAGCAGTTAGCCAATTCGCTAGCGAGTTTGCAAATTGGCTGCCCCAATACTTCTGAGACTTGCTGTAAAAATAATGATACAGTTGTTTGAATTCATAAAATACATAATGTATGTCCATGTGTTTATGGATCAGACTCGACAAAGCACTGCCATGTGGTAAGTGACTCCAATATTGTCTTAAAGCTGCATTCTTTGAAGTACCATTACATTAGTAGTGTAGCAAAACTCTGGGTTTGAGCCATAGTTAATTTTAACTCTTGTTGACGTGTGTGTAAGAACCAAGATCTTGCAGTACACACAGAATGAGGGGAAAATAGTGTCACATTTCATGTTTAGCTCGTTTGCAAAGTGGGAATGCAACTTGTATCTTGCATATAATTATGTGGTCTTGCATTCTAAATATTGCAACTATTTAAAAGACTGCTTTTACAATATGATGCAGTGTTATCCAGTAATCACAAGATTGCACAAGATATAATGGGCAGCTGGAAAAAAGTACAAAACTGGGTGAACAATAGAATTGTCAGAAAAGTATGCAGTTGTGGGTTTACCAGTCATTGCTTAGAATAAATGTGGATGTTAGGAAGTCATAAATACACGTGACAACAAAGGCGGTTTTACAGTTCCGAAGTTCAATATGCTACAGGATCTGTCATAATGTTCCATCATGGCTACAATTAATTTACACCAAGCGGAAACCCTTGAATGAACTTGAATCAAAGTTTTGCGTAATGACCAAATACAGCCTGATTGCTGATTGCACCTACTGTACTTAATCATTGCAAATTTCAAAAACTTTCTAGACATTAAAAAGCAGGCCAGCTGCCAAATGTGTCCCTTCAAAGTATGATATGCTGAACAGTTTTACTCTGCAAGTATTAAATTCATACAAACACTTGACCTTGCAAAACAAACCCTGCTTCAACGACCATTGAAGGATGGTGTGACTAAATTACTATCCGGGTAAAGCCTTGCGAACCGACCAAGCGTCCAGATGGGAAAAACATTCCTGTAACTGGTGTAGCTAATAGCACATGACTTGTTGAACACACCACTGATGTTTTCCTGCAAAATATAACAGAGAATATACAGAATGATTGGTGTGGAAATAAAGAACAGCCAGTCTCCATTTTGCTGTACATGTTCTGCCTGTGGGGATAAAACAATTGTACAGTACTCTGTATGAGAAGATCCAATATTTTATTTTACCTGGCTCGTTTGTATGTAAAAAGAAAAATGAACCAGAAAAAAATGGACACTACCTGTGGCTGGACATGATCACTTTATTGACATGATGGAAGTGAGGTGCACATAAATAGAGATACTTACCTGTGGCCAATCACCATTTGGTAACTGTCTAGACATGATGGAAGTGAGGTGTACGTAAATAGAGATACTTACCTGTGGCCAATCACCATTTGGTAACTGTCTAGACATGATGGAAGTGAGGTGTACGTAAATAGAGATACTTACTTGTGGCCAATCACCATTTGGTAACTGTCTGGACATGATGGAAGTGAAGTGTATGTAAATAGAGATACTTACCTGTGGCCAATCACCATTTGGTAACTGTCTAGACATGATGGAAGTGAGGTGTACGTAAATGTAGATACTAACTTGTGACCAATCACTATTTGGTAACTGTCTGGACATGATGGAAGTGAGGTGTACGTAAATAGAGATACTAACCTGTGGCCAATCACCATTTGGTAACTGTCTGGACATGATGGAAGTGAGGTGTACGTAAATAGAGATACTAACCTGTGGCCAATCACCATTTGGTAACTGTCTGGACATGATGGAAGTGAGGTGTATGTAAATAGAGATACTTACCTGTGACCAATCACCATTTGGTAACTGTCTGGACATGATAGAAGTGATGTGTACGTAAATAGAGATACTTACCTGTGGCCAATCACCATTTGGTAACTGTCTGGACATGATGGAAGTGAGGTTTATGTAAATAGAGATACTAACCTGTGGCCAATCACCATTTGATAACTATCTAGACATGATGGAAGTGAGGTGTACGTAAATAGAGATACTTACTTGTGGCCAATCACCATTTGGTAACTGACTGGACATGATGGAAGTGAGGTGTACGTAAATAAAGATACTTACCTGTGGCCAATCACCATTTGGTAACTGTCTGGACATGATAAAAGTGATGTGTGCGTAAATAGAGATACTTACCTGTGGCCAATCACCATTTGGTAACTGTCTGGACATGATGGAAGTGAGGTGTACGTAAATAGAGATACTTACCTGTGGCCAATCACCATTTGGTAACTGTCTGGACATGATGGAAGTGAGGTTTATGTAAATAGAGATACTTACTTGTGGCCAATCACCATTTGGTAACTGTCTGGACATGATGGAAGTGAGGTGTAAGTAAATAGAGATACTTACTTGTGGCCAATCACCATTTGGTAACTGTCTGGACATGATGGAAGTGAGGTTTATGTAAATAGAGATACTTACTTGTGGCCAATCACCATTTGGTAACTGTCTGGACATGATGAGTTGAACACCTTTTTCTAATACAGATATGTCTGGGTATCTAAATGGGTATAAACAATCAAGAAATTAACAGTTCTGCCAGTGATTTTGAAATCTAAAATACGACTGACCATATAAAACACAGGTAGGAACCTCTTTAAAGGTGTCACATGCTTTGCTGATTAGATGAATTTACATCATATGTATGTCATGCTCAAACATTTTCCCCTTTGTCTACATTGGCTTCCACTCGAAGGAATTAATTGTGTTGATAATTATTGGCACAAATTGCATAAAAGAGAAATTGTTTTGAATTACCTTACAGCCATAAGCCCCAAAAGAGCCCATGCAGTGTTGACAATCTGAGAATTGTCTGACTCTATGTACTGCCTCTTTTCGCACGATTCAAAGTTCTCACCCCAACCACCATCTGACATTTGTTTCTTACACAAGAATTCACATGCCAACTTGACCTCATTTGTAGCAGTTCTGCATGAAAAAAACATTCATGTGTTTATTTTTTGGAATTATGATGAGTATACTGACCCTAAATCATACCTACATCCCATAATGCAACATACTATGTATACTTACCCTAAATCATACCTACATCCCATAATGCAACATACTAAGTATACTTACCCTAAATCATACCTACATCCCATAATGCAACATATTAAGTATACTTACCCTAAATCATACCTACATCCCACAATGCAACATACTAAGTATACTTACCCTAAATCATACCTACATCCCATAATGCAACATACTATGTATACTTACCCTAAATCATACCTATATCCCATAATGCAACATACTAAGTATACTTACCCTAAATCATACCTACATCCCATAATGCAACATACTATGTATACTTACCCTAAATCATACCTACTACATCCCACAATGCAACATACTAAGTATACTTACCCTAAATCATACCTACATCCCATAATGCAACATACTATGTATACTTACCCTAAATCATACCTACTACATCCCACAATGCAACATACTAAGTATACTTACCCTAAATCATACCTACATCCCATAATGCAACATACTATGTATACTTATCCTAAATCATACGTACTACATCCCACAATGCAACATACTAAGTATACTTACCCTAAATCATACCTACATCCCATACAGGAATAAGCTTCTAAACCAAACCATGCACCGTAAGTGAAACACACACCCCATGACCTGAATAGAAAAAACACTATGTCAGCTCAGTTTATCTGATCCATAGAAATTACAACTTGAACAATACACTGTACATACAAGTAACATATTTTTGTTACGAGGGGCGTTCAATAAGTAATGCCCCTGACCCACTTCCAGTTGTCTGATCTAGATGAAATTTTGCATGTGTAATGATTTACATCTCTATGGGTTATGTTGCAAAAACAGCTCTGAACTAATTGTGGTTTCTGATTTACAGGTGAGTCAGGTGTGAAATGGAGCCAGTTGAGTGTCTTGCAGTGATCCGTTTTTTGTATTTGAAAAGACGCACACCAAAGGAGACTTTTGATGAAATGAAAGAAACTTATGGTGATGATGCCCCATCATATGACCTTGTAAAACGCTGGCATCCTGAATTCAAACATGGTCGGAAGTCTGTGAAAACAGACCTGGTCCCTCTTCTGCCATTGATGAGGCATCTGTCCGTCAAGTTGAGGCAGTCATTTTGGAAGATTGACACATTACTGTTCACCAAATAGCCCAAGAGATCAAGATTAGTACAGGGTCTGTGGAAACTATTATTCATGACCATTTGCATATGCATAAAGTGTCTGCCAGATGGATTCTCAGGTTGCTCACACCTTTCCAGAAGCAAGTACGCGCTGAGTGCTTGTGGATGAATTCGGAGATGTGCCAAGAAGTTTTTCAAAAGACTGATTACACAGGATGAAACTTGGGTCCATCACTATGATCCGTAGACTAAAGCCCAGTCAATGCAGTGGCAGCACTTGGACTCACCACCTCCAAAGAAGGTAAGGTCATGCTCACAGTCTTCTGGGACCAGGACGGAGTAGTGATGACATATTTCTAGGCAAAGGGTACCACAATTACAGGAGCCTATTGAAATTAAGAAAAGCTATCGAAATCAAGAGACGGGGCAAGATCAGCAAAGGTATCCTCCTCCTGCAGGACAACTCGCATGTCGCCAGATCAGAAGCACTGGGCTATGAAATCCTCCCACATTCCCCTTACTCTCCTGACCTTGCACCCTCTGACTTCCATCTCTTCCAAGACAGGAAGTTGTTTTTTAAAGGAAAGCGTTTCCCAGATGACGCAGCCTTGATTTCGGAAGTTACGACATGGTTGGAGGACCAACCTGGGGTGTTCTACAAAAACTGTGTTCTACAAAAACTGTGTCCAGAGCTGCATCAAACGATGGGAGAAATGCATAACTCTGGGTGGTTCCTATTTAGAGAAAGACTAATAACTGTGCCAAGTATCATTAATCTCCTGCTATGGGAAATAGGTCAGGGGCATTACGTTACGCCCCTCGTATTACGATACACTCTAGGTGGAACATATTAAAGAAAATGAAATCAATAAAATCATAGTACACTTCATAGTACAAAACAATAATTGTGCATTAATGTCAGTTCTTACCCTTCCCATGATCCATCACTGCGTTGTTTATCCTTAATATATGCAAGACCATCATCTAGGGTTGTTCTAGAGAAAGAAGAAAGAAAGAATATTGAACTTATTGAACAATCAAACCTGTGTTAGGTATTACCTCTATGTAAAGACCAATTGTCTATAGTGAACACTTTTGAGACAGTCCCAAGGCATAATCTATAAACAACCTGTGTATAAAGACCACCTGTCTAATGTGACCACTCTTTCAACAATATTTTTGCAGATTCATCCCGCGACCAAGATCATAAAGTTATATAATTTACTCTTTCTCCCCCAATATTTAGATTCCATGTATTTTTATGGCTCCTATTATTTTATTATTATTACCAGTAATGTATTTTATTAATATTTTATATTCATTAAACAACAGTTACAGCCTCCACTATTTTCTTTCAGAATTGAACAGCTTCCGCAGCACTCACTTGTGTCACTTCTGATAGTTGCAGTTTTATATCTATAACATCATTATTTCACACAGATTACAATTACATAACAGACTTCACATAGCTTACAGCTACAATAACCAAATGTATTTTCGCTGTAACATTTCATTTTTTTCTTGAAAAATATGTTGAATGTTCGAGTTGGCAATCCATGAAAAATTAATCCTATTTGAATTAAGTGCCTTGGGTGGTTGCTATAAACAGTTTTGTCTGCATTCTCCTTATACAATTTAATTTTGGTCTTGAAAATGTTTTAATGACTACATGACGGCTGATATGTACTACTTACCGTATTTCGTCTTTTCTGTATTCTGGATATTGATCTTGGAAATGTTTTAACGACTGCATGACGGCCGATGTACATTCTACATATGTGTAATCTATCATTATGTCACCTGATTAGAAAAAAACAATAAATAGAATTATAAACAAAATGTACATTGCATTTATGATAGAATCCATAGGCAAGTTGTATAATTGTTATAAAGTGAGTAATATACAAGATATACAAAACAATTTTCAGTGTTTTTAACTATACCATAGAATACTTAGCTGGATAAATTGTTGCTGAAAAGACATTTTGAGCGTTTTGTATGGAATTTATTTTCACTGATTTTTGACAAGTTGAATGTAAAATATAGGAAAAAAGGTATACTGGTATTCACTGGATTATTATTTTCACTGAATTATCCCTTCAGCAAAAATAGCGAAAATAAATTCAAAGTGAAAATAAAGTATTCTACAGTATATATAATTGCTTTGTCATCTCTACTGTGCATCTACTGTGCTATAATAATGGAAAAACACCATCTCGTATAAAACATAGAAACATATTCAAAATTGGCAACAACAATATGTACCATGTCCTAGATCTTGTTCAGGACATGTGAAAATACCTTATTATTAGTGTTAAAATGTTCAGCAGTTGACTATCTTTGTTTGGGTGACAAAAACAATGGCCATCAGTCAGCTATCTTAAGCCAAATTAACAAAGTGACATACACCAACTACCGGTACGCACAATGGTCATGGCTTCCTCCAACTTTGAAGAAAATCAGAATGAACATGTCAAAATACTTTATTTTCTCATCTAAAATGGTCATCTGTTGGCCATCTTTGTTTGGATGACAAAATTATTGTATGTACATAAGTATGCCATTATGTTCTGTCTATGTATAAAGTTTGAAGTGAATAGTTCGAGGCAAGTATGATATAAATCTGGAATTTAAAAAAAAAATGGTCAGTCATCTTGAGTCAAATTTACAAATCAAAGAGAGATGTATAAACTACCCATATTGATTAATCTTTTCACCAAGTTTGAAGAAAATCAGAAAATACATGCCTGAAATCTGGTTCGGGATATGCCAAGATACATGATTTTGATAAAATGGCCACCAATCCGCCATCTTAGACCAAAATCACTGCACTTATATATGTAGCAATTAAGGTAATAAATATTTGTTGAATATGAATGAGAAACACCAGATTTAAATCCTAGTTATTTTCAAGAGGAAAATATTAATTTAAAACATAAAATGAAGCAAATGTGGCATGTATGTCTATTTATAGGTTTATGCAGTTACAGGTATATTTAAAAAGTAGAAATATAGTTTGTAGTAAAACTTGTCAATCAAAACAATAAACGCCTGCAAGCAGTGTAATTTGCATATTTCACAATCTTTAAATAAGTTTATAGTACCGGTAGTATCAAGAAAATTTGAAAAATAAATTTAGCAACCTCAAGTATTATTCTTGTTAGAAAACTGAGAGTCAATAAATTATGGTATGTGATGGGTTTCTATAAATTTACAAATCATAGAAATAAATTTTAAAAAATTAATCAAACAATCAATAAATAACTGAATATATACAAAGAATAAGAAAGCTAAAATGAAATAATAATATTACATCAATATTGCCGAAAAAATATAATGGTAGAAAATAAATCTAAGAAAATATATACAAAATTATATTTGAAAAGACCAGTGTCACTGATGGATCTTTCAAATTTTCTTGACTGGTCACTATTAACCATCAAGATGATTCCCATAGCAACACTATATACACATCTGTCAGTTGGTGACACTTTGTTCAAACTCAGTGGTTGCTGCTAACAACTACAAGTAGTGAGTGAATTTCCCTGTCCCAAATCTGTTGTTCAATATGTTAATCAGCAAAAAACAATGGCCAACCTAAGATCACGAGAGATCATGTTAGATCTTGCATGAGTTCATGTGGTTGTAACTACTGCATATACTGTAGCAGCATACTTAAAATTAGTCTAGTTCCTGCATTTTCTTGCTTTCTTTTAAATTTATTGGATTTCTCTGACATATAACTGTATAGCTGCATAAAGCAGAATAGTCTCAATATGAGGTTCTTGCTCAAAATTTTGTGTCTGGCAATCGTCCTGGATAGCTTCAGAATTTTGACATTTTCATATCAGATGAAATCACCTGAAATCAGCAAACAAGGGATAGCTTGACATCTTTAGAAATAATTATTTTATCATCCAATGACACCAGATGGTGAAACAGCTTGTAAGAACCAATCAGATTGCTGTGATTATACTCACCGAATACTTCTGATGGGTTCAATAGTTCAAGTAGTTTTCCTCCCCTCTTAGTTTCATAAGTCGCGAATCCCTTGTCTGAATTACGTAAACTTAACAACTACGAAATGAGAAAACATTTAGTGATTGAAAAATACAGGCTGAATGGCATGGGTGGTTAATAAATATACAGCAAACTTGACCCAAGTGGGTAACTGCGTTAATTTCTCAATTTCATACAGAATTTGTGTTATTTTTGAGAGGACAATTATTGAATACTTGTACACTGCACCAAAATTCATGAAAGTTCCTGAGACCACAAATTTATGTTTTTACAGGTATGTTCTTGATTCCTTGATATATGTGATTATTATTGAGGACTTCATACAACACTTCATCATAAATTGACTAACTTGATTACAGGTATTACAAATATTCGGTCCCTATATGTGTGGATGGCATGCATACATTATTATATATTTTGTTTTTATCCACTATCTATTCAACCTACCACATTGACTGCTTCATAAAGTTTCTCCTTTTCAATTGGATTTTTAATATTTGCACATTTTTCTTGTAACATCATGACTGACTTCAACCCTTCCGCAGTACAGTCTCCAACGATCCATCCACAGTCACGAGTACTAAATGGAAATCCACCCTATCAAATAAAGACACGTATATTAATAATTACTTTTCTCAGTGATTTTTGGTGCTTCATCCAACTAATGAAATTGACAAACATTTGAAAATTATTCAAACTTTCCAATGCAGATTCAAGGAATAAATCAGTAATTTATTATTCACTCAATAAAGTAATGAACAACATTTTTTTTCAGTATCAGCGTATCTAGATATCAAATTTGATGATCAGTAAGTTTTACACATCAAAATCATGAAGACAACTCCACTATGTTATTGTTTACCTTGTTCATCTGCCGATAATACTTCTCATAATCTGCTGGGTTCTCTGGTATTTGAGTCAGTTTAAAGAAACTATGAGCATGTTCTAGTGTATCATTAAACATTGTGTTCTTGTGTGCTTCAGCTTCTATGAAAGCCTGTACAACAAATGCAGTATCCCAAAGTTGTGAACCATTAGTACCCTGTATATCAACAATTAATCAGTTAGCCTATTCAATGCCATTTTTATTTCCCGCCAAAATGTTTGTGCAGCACTTTATATACTTTTATGCATTTTTTAAAAAAATTTCAATAATTTTAATCCAATTGGAATAATTTCAGGTTTTTATCAAAATTGTATAAAAAAAAATATGAAAAACATTTCAAAATTTTGTGACAAATTTTGTGTTTGAAATTTACAAATTATACAATTCTCAATGTGTCATTGTAGGTATAAATCAATTCAAAATGTCTGGTCTATTTGTGTTTATCATTATTTACACTTGGGTCACATGATCAGAAATACATTTATTCATACGGTTAGTATAATATATGATGTACAAAATACAAAATGATATGCATCAAGGTCACATAGTGTACATACTAAGTTTGAATGACATTTGTCCATACACAACCAAGATCAAGAACCTGTGTTGCAGAAATGTATGATTTTGATGAATTTTCAACATTCAATCGGATCACCAAATGAATAAATATGCATATGTGCGACATGATCTATGTTGTATTTATAAAGTATGAACATGAACAGTCATAACATGTCAGTGATATAGTCCTAGAACAGCATTTGTTGACAAACAATTGCTATCAGTCGGCAACAGGCATGCATCAGGGTCCCATATTTACCAATGAAATCCGCTTCTGGAATGGCAAAATACTTGGTTTCGGCAAATTTTGGCCGCTATTCAGCCATTTTGAATCAAATCACCAAACAAAAAATGTGCATATGCGCGACATGATGTAATGTAATTCTAAAGTTTGAATAAGATTGATCAAGGAATGTCAGAGATATAGCTCTGAAAATGCATATATTAAAAGAAAATGACCACCAGTCAGCCATTTTTAATTTAATCTGAAAAATAATATGACAAGCATCAAAGTCCCCCGATAATGGATGATGTTTGTACTAAAGTTTGAACAAAATCCATCTTTATGCAACCAAGATCTGGTTACAGAATGGCAAAAGTGCTTGATTTTGGTGAATTTTTTTAACATTAAAATCAAGATGGAAACACACACATGCATGATACATGTTCAAATGAGGATGAATAATGACTTTTATCGCATTCATATCAAAATTAGGATTTTGAATGAAATGTAACTCAGATGTGAAATAAGGACAACAAATTCCCATTCAACAAGCCATGCATTGCACAGTCCATTTTAGTTATTAAACTTAAGATATACCGGTAGTTTTATTTATAGTAATATAGTTGGAACATAAACATGTCAGAGATATTAATCCAGAAGCTGATACTTTATTTTTTAACATTAAAAAGATTGACATTCAGTCATCTCGTATCTGATCGTCAAATGAGTACTTGTCCATATTGAGAGATATAATGCTCTGGAACAGCATTAATTAAAAACAAACCAGTCAGTCATTTTGAATACATCTGTATATCTATGCCATGATGTATAATGAATATGTAAAATTTTAACATAATCAGTCAAAGCATGTCAGAGATATGGCACTAGAACGGCATTCATTAAAACAAAATGGTCGCCAGTCGATCATTTTGAATCTAATCTGAAAAACAAAATGACGTGCATTAAGGTCCCATAATATTCAGTGTATAAATTAAACTTGCACAAAATTCATCAGCAAACAGCCGAGATCCGTTTCCAGAATGCCAAAAATGCTTGATTTTGATGATTTTTCATCACAAAAATGGCCACTATTTGGCCATCTTGAAACAAATTTCCGGACTGGGTTCGAACAGGGACTAAATATGAAACCTAAAAGTAATTTGGCAAAGAAAGTTATTCATCACAATATAATTCTGTAATAAGGACTTACATTCATCTTCATGCCATCCAAACCAAGCCTGAATATAAAATACCAAAAAAATGATGTGAAGATGTAGTACACTTTGGGAGTAAACTAGCTCTATATTTAGCAATCCACCTAAATTTATTAAAACAGTTTCTTTCAAAAACAGCAACACCTCTTCCCAACTTAACTTTTATTTATTTTGCCTTTTGATTATTACAGTGTTACATTTTGATTAATTTTTGTTAGTAACTGTATGCTTTTCTACATCATGAAACCATTCCTTTCAAGGTGAACACTACAAAGGCAATCAACTGCAGTAACTTAGATAAAACACTACAAAGACAACAGAATGTGGTCCATCTACATGCCATCTTACTGGTATACTCATAACTTACCATAAATAATCCGCAATTCTGTCTACATGTTGTTTAAAGACAATAGACTGTGGTCCATCTACATGCCACCTTACTAGTATACTCATAACTTACCATAAATAATCCGCAATTCTGTCTACATGTTGTTTGAAAACAATAGACTGTGGTCCATCTACATGCCACCTTACTAGTATACTCATAACTTACCATAAATAATCCGCAATTCTGTCTACATGTTGTTTGAAAGCAATAGACTGTGGTCCATCTACATGCCACCTTACTAGTATACTCATAACATACCATAAATAATATGCAATTCTGTCTACATGTTGTTTAAAGACAATAGACTGTGGTCCATCTACATGCCACCTTACTAGTATACTCATAACTTACCATAAATAATCCGCAATTCTGTCTACATGTTGTTTGAAAACAATAGACTGTGGTCCATCTACATGCCACCTTACTAGTATACTCATAACTTACCATAAATAATCCGCAATTCTGTCTACATGTTGTTTGAAAACAATAGACTGTGGTCCATCTACATGCCACCTTACTAGCATATTGATGACTTTGGATACCTGAACGATTCAAAATATTGGAAAGAGTTTTAGTTTGGTCAGAGAAAATCTAGAATTTATACAGTGATTACATGAAAAGTACTTAAAATTGAAATAAAACTTTTATGTGTATACAATTATATCATAAATTATTTTCATAACAATTGGCAGGTCATTGTTTTTGTTTCAAATAACAGAATTATTTTTTTGACTTTGCTTGCACCATTCTTGCTCAAATACAGATGTCTGTCCGTCTGTCTGTCTGTCTGTCTGTCTGTCTGTCTGTCTGTCTAACTTACATTACAAGTAGGTAGGTAAAAACCTATATACAAGAACAAATAAGAAATTGAAATGGATTCAAAAATGCTTCAAAAGTAGTGATTTCCCACCATATGCATACAAGTCTCATACAGTATATACATTTATATTAAAGGTGGTATACAACAAAATGATGTCTATACATATAAAACATTACTGCTAGCAAACATTTAGATGAGGTGGACTTACCGGGCCTATACTAATGCATTTAGTGAATCTATCATCTGCCTGTATATGATCATAGCATTCCTGTATTGCCTTCTGTCGCAGTCTTTTACTATGCCATGATTCATAAACATTCAATACACCTGAAACAAACACAAGGACAAGGTCATATTTAAGTAACAATCTTTACATGGTACATTACTCTTGTGGATTGGAACACTCAGAAACAGAGAAAATCACAAAGCAAGATGTTCATATGCTGAATCGGCATTATAAACAATATTATTATACATCTATCACTGTAACGCCATAAGTTACAGCGTGCCATAATTTTGTGCTATTTCACGGGGTATTTTCATCCTACCATATTAGGAAATGGGAATTCTAAATATGGAATGATTATGCACATAAGCATCCTCTCATAATAAAAACAAACATGGCTGCCACCAGGGTTTGACCGGACTCCACAAAAAGAAGTTCGCTGATTCTGTTCTAAACTTTTTGGATTTTGGCATTCCCATGATGTATCCTTTGAAGGAAAAGATGTACATGTAAAATAATAAAGTTATTACGAGGATACTTTAAAGTATGCACTCAGACAATACGGCATCGTTACTCCAACTGTCCTGTCTTCTTGCATACGTTGAGGTATCCTCGTAATAACCTCATATTATCGCCATGAAAATTAACACTCAGGTCTAGATCACAAACAACCTAGTTCTAAACCATGCATGGCTACAATTGGTGACATACCATCACAAAATAGACAACTAGACTCCTCCATAACCCGTTGAGATATCCGATCACAAAATGGATAACAAAATTTGTCACTGAAAAACATACCATCACCAAATGGATAACAAGGCTTGCCCACAACTCTTTGAGATATCCGATCAACAAATAGACAACAAGACTTGTCCACAGCTCTTTGAGATATCCGATCACCAAATAGACAACAAGACTTGTTCACAGCTCTTTGAGATATCCGATCACCAAATAGACAACAAGACTTGTCCACAGCTCTTTGAGATATCCAATCACCAAATAGACAACAAGACTTGTCCACAACTCTTTGAGATATCCAATCACCAAATAGACAACAAGACTTGTCCACAGCTCTTTGAGATATCCGATCACCAAATAGACAACAAGACTTGTCCACAGCTCTTTGAGATATCCAATCACCAAATAGACAACAAGACTTGCCCACAACTCTTTGAGATATCCGATCACCAAATAGACAACAAGACTTGCCCACAACTCTTTGAGATATCCGATCACCAAATAGACAACAAGACTTGTCCACAGCTCTTTGAGATATCCAATCACCAAATAGACAACAAGACTTGTCCACA